GTAAGCTCTCTCGGACGTGCTCTGTACTATTACTGTTATTATTATTACTATCATTCAGATTATTATTATCATTATGATTATTATTATCTTTATTATTCGTCTTCTATTTCTTTTACTTCTTCTTGTTCTTCTTATTATTACTATTGTTATTATTATTGTTATTATTGTCATTATTGCCATCATTGTTATTGTTATTGTTATTTTTATCATTATTGCCATCATTGTTATCATCATTATCATGACTGAAATAATCATTATTGTCATTATTATTATCATTATCATAATCTTTATTATCATCATCATTCATAGCATTATCGTTGCTATCATTACCCTCATCGTTATCATTACCATTTGTATTATTATCATTATCATTGTATTATTATTATGTATTATTATTATCATATTATTATTATGTATTATTATTATCATATTATTATTATGTATTATTATTATTGTATTATTATCATTATCATTATCATTATCATTATCATTATCATTATCATTATCATTATCATTATCATTATTATTATTATTATTATTATTATCATTATTGTTATTCTTCTTATTATTAATATTACTATTATTATTATTATTATTATTATCATTGTTATCCTTATTACTATTATTGTTATTACCACTATTATTATCATCACTATCATTATTATTACTATTATCATTGTTATTATTATTATCATTACTATTATTACTATTGCCATTGCTACTATAAGTGCTATAATAATAACAGCAATGATAATAATAATAATAATAATAATAATAATAATAATAATAATAATGAGAACAATAATAATAATGATAATAACAATAATAATAATAATAATAATAATAATAATAATAATAATAATAACAATAATAATAATAACAACAACAACAATAAATAGAAAAGCACTCAGAGAGTGCAGACCTCCGCCAAGGTGCGTATATAATATATATACTTTGGTTGAGGACAATGACACCCGGGACACGGCCAAGTCCAAAAATATCATGATCATCTTTCGGATCTACTTACACCGCTGCTGCGTCCAGACGGTAATTCGTCTGGACGCAGCAGACGAATTACCAAAATTTAATCAGTTCTAAGTTAGTCCCTTTCTGACTTGTCCTCAAAATTTCGATGAAATCCGGCAAGCACTTTTTGAGCTACGCTGCTAACAAACCAACAAACCAACGCAGTCAAAAACATAACGGAGGTAAATATGGGAGATAGTGAAATGTGGCACATGTTTACCGTAGATTTGTGTGCCGAACTTTAATAGTAAATTTATTGATTAAATAAATCATGATAATAATAATAACAACCAGACGGTAATTCGGAATGTCACCAAAATTTAATCAGTTCTAAGTTAGTCCCTTTCTGACTTGTCCCCAAAATGTTCATGAAATCCGGTCAGCACTTTTTGAGCTACGCTGCTAACAAACAAACCAACAAACCAACGCCGTCAAAAACATAATCTCCTTGGTGGAGGTAATAATAATGATTATTATTAATATTTTTATAATAACAATAATAATATTATTAATATTGATAATCATAAATATTATCATTAAGATTATTATTATTACTATTATTATTGTTATCCTTATTATCATTATCATTATTATTATTGGTGTTGCTGTTCTTGTTATAATGATGATGATGAAAATAATAATGTGGCGGGCTATTGTGGCTCCGTAACCAATATTAAATCTATTTGTAATGGATTCCCCGTCAAGTCTATTCCTAAGAAATGGTAGCCTGAACTGAAACCAACTGACTCCCAATATAACCCTAATAAAATGACCTTCACAACGAGTTAAAACATAAAAAATTTAACCTCGGCATTTATCGTAGGAAAATAATGTTAAATAAATAATTTAAATCGAATAAAGCAATGAGAAAAAATATTAAGATTCAGTAATATTCACAAGCTTAGTATAGCATGTAAAATCTATAAAAATTCTGGTTTGTATATAGTATTAAAAATAAAGAATCCTGTCCTACTCCAATGCACAAAGGAAATATCCAGGAAAACAGAATTTAATTTTTTTTTTTTTTTCCGCGTGATGTGATGGCCAGACCTGCCGAGTTTTCCCACCTTTCGCTCAGCAAGGAAAATCACGCAGGAGGAGAGCAAAACGCCGTTGTTTCGAGAAGAATGGATATATTTCCCGTCCAGCGCGGCTTATATTTAATTTCGTGACGTCATAAGCGACGCCAAACATCGTTCGTAAAATATAAAGTTTGTACAAAAAACTTTAGGATAGATACTATAACCCTAAATAAAATGACCTTCACAACGAGTTAAAACATAAAAAATACATAATTAATGTGAAGTAGGCAGAAAGCACAATAGATAAAATATGACGTTAAAACAGATATTTCTTAAAAAATAGAATAAGCTTCCGTAGACAGAAACAAATTAACAAAAAATAAAAATGAAAATAGGAGATAATTTAAAATAATATAGATAACCAGAAGCTCACAGAGGAAGCAACAACGTAA